TAGTGGTTTATGGTATTTTTGAAAATACTATAAATTCTATTAAAGCATTTAATTGTTTTATGTCTGTTTGTCTGAATGATTTTCAACCCATATGGAACATTGTCTATTTCTATTCAGTAATGCATGAGTCAATTCCAGGAGTAACCATCCCCCCCAGGAACACACCCGGGCATTTGATTTGATTGGTTATGATAGTGTAAATGCCTGGGTGCCGGGACACAACTTGAAGACTAATGCACGGCCCCTGGGCAAGCTGAGAGTGGAAAATGCCCCACCCTGGGGACGATTTTACAATCGATTTCACGAAACTTTGACCACAAATGTTCTGAACTTCGTTGCGAAGTTCGCAAGCTCATATTGGAATTCACAAGCCAATTTGTAAACAAAGTCCCTGATTGGTCCGTGAAGTAAAAGAAGCCAATCAAATGCGTAGTTTACGAACTGGTTTGTGAATCTCATTATGAACTTTTGAACTTCGCAACAATCTTGTGAACTTCGCAACGAAGTTCAGAAATTTTGTGGTCAAAGTTTCGTGAAATCGACTGTAAACGTTAATTAAACTTTTAAAGGCATATAATCATAGTCATAATAATTAATAACATTATAGTATTAAACTGCTATGGAATATTATAAAACATAAACCTTTATAATAGTTGTATTTAAATTTGCATGGCAGAGGGTATAATTTTCGCTTATTCTTACAATAAATTTCACGCCACCTTGACCACGAGGGCGCAAAACACGATCAGCGCGCCCACATGCTTGCCTGAACTATGTTTTGCTGCCTTAAAATTTGTGGGTGGGATTCTGGGCAACCATTTGTCAAATCCCCGGGGTCCTCCAATACCCGGCCCCCGTGCACATATATGAAAGGCAAATTCCCGACCCCCGTGAACTGTCTATCGGGCAAATTCCCGGGGGTGTGGGGGGGGGGGGGATGGTTACTCCAGGAATTGACTCATGCATAATTTATGGACCCCAGTGAGTGGCATAGATGTATCAGGGCTTATAAATCAGGCTGGATAAGTTTGTCGGGTATTGTCGTGCTTGGCAAAAGCTATTGCCTTGTCTGAGTTGAATAAAAATGTCTGGCGTTGGCAGAATAATATGCTCAGCCCATTTGTTGATTAAATTCCCCAAATAAAATTCAGTTTGTGCAAATTTAATTTTGGAAATCAAATTGATGTGAACTTCCAATAGTCAGAATCAGTGCTACCAAGAAGTGGGGCATTTTCCATTTGTCCCCAAAGCAACAAAAATCCTTAAATTTTCTTGATGCAGTATTGCTTAACTGCAAATATAAAGCTCTGAAATTACACTGAAATACTTTAGCCTGCTTCCACTTTCAAATATGAAATTTCCTTAAAATTTCCTTGCCGAAGCAGGAGCCAGAGTTTTGACTCAAAGGAGCCGAAGCTAAAATAACCAGAGTTTGCACAGCTCTATCTGATGATGATGTTTAACAAAATGAATGAATTTCAAATTTATGTTAAGTTTATTTGCTGTAGCTTGACAACTTTATCTTCTTCTTCTAAACACTGTCTGTAGACATTCAGTGGTGATATAAGCCCCCCCCCCACTTTAATTGAAAAAGGCCCTCTTCACCTGGAAATGTGGCAACTGGGGCAGGGGCTATGCCTAAATCTGTAACATTCTCTCAAACACTTTAACCCATTAAGGTGCATTGCACCCTATGTTATTATTTTACTCTGTGTAATGCCAGAAATTTTACATATTAGGGGGCGAGTGCTGGGTTAACATCAACACTTTATTATACTTGCTTAGGAGCCAACAATTGGCCTAAAGGGCCCCCAGCTTTTTGTTGGGTGGAGCCCAACAGAGTTAGCCACTGTGTTTTCAATTGATAAAACAATTCTCTAGCAGTCTATAGTGTTCTCCCATATAAGGTAACAACTGTGTTTGTTCCCCTGTTTAGTATATTATTTTGCCTGTTTAGTAGGCTTGGGCGGTTTTTCGTTTTTGTTCAGTTTTATTCCCAAACCGTTTTTTTCGGTTTAAGCTTTTACAAAAACCTGGAAAACCGTCATTACGTAATTGTTTACTGTCATCGCCTGAAAATCGATCTTAATTCTCAAAACATGACACTAAACTCAACTACATGACACTAGATACAAATTCTATTCTTTTTCCATAAAGTCAGTAAGAACTAAAGAGTTATACTGTAAGTTCTCAAATGCATTCTTGACCCTTTTATTTTAAAACTGAAGTTGTTTTAGGTTACCTTTACACAATTGTGTGTTTTGTTGTGTACTGTTCGTTTGCTTATGTCAAAAAATACCACAATTCCTCCTCATTCAGTTGAAATACAAATTAAAGGAAAAAAAAAAGTTTTCCAGTTTTACCGGTTTAGAATCAGATGGTTTTTCGGTTTTGATTTTAAGCAAAACCGCCCTAGCCTACTGGTTAGTATATTATTTCGCCAGCAATTCAACAATTTTTCTCATCTAATGTACAGCAGGAGACTTGTGTATTGTGATGAGGTCATGAATGCATCCTCATGCACTTAAGCCCATGTGACGCACCCACATGACATGTAGAAAACAATGGTAGATTTGTGGTTATGACTTGCAATTGTTACTGTAAAATGTAGTCTGTAGATGTTGCTTTCATTATTGGCATAATTCATGTACTAAAATTTCATTTTTTTAAAGTCATTTGAATTATATTTGTCTGCATTCAACCAGATTTTCAATATTGGAAAAAATTAGGCGGGCAAAGGTTTGTGCAAAGTGTATTTTGGCTGAACGAAACGAGAGAATAGTAGTATTACTAGCTGTTATAAATTAAGTGCAATTATAAATTATAAATTAATATATTTTACACATCAATACATTGGGGACATTTTGAATTGTTTTATCAATTGAAAACAAGTTACACTATACACTTAATGTCTGCTCCCAAGGGAAATAGTTTGTTTTGTTTTCTCGAGACTCTCAATGTTGAGATTTGAGAGAAAATAAAACTAACTATTTCCTGAGGGAACAGTCACATTAAGCATTTTGTTATATAGCGACGAACAAAAATCAACATTCAACAACATTCATACAACAATTTATTTTGTGAGAGACCGCGAGCAGTCCCTCGGGAGAAAGGTGGGACCCCCGATAACACATCAAGAAACGAAATACGCCCACTTTTTGCTCGTGTCAAGTTGGCTCGCCTTTGCATAAACATTACTTATATCCAATTAAATCTATCTAATAGGAACCGTTGATGTCATGTTTATTTATAACGTCAACATTCAGTCTGGAAATTATTTATAGCATAATTACTACGTATCAGATTTGATTGACAAGCATATCGATTTCGACCAATGGGAATTTTACGTTGTGTGGGTAACGTGTATTTCATTTCTTGATGTGTTGTCAGCAGTCCCTCCTCCGGAAATCTAAACCCGTGGAAAGGAGGGACTGCTTGCAGTCTAATTTTGTGACAAAAACTTTATAGTGTAAACAAGTTTAAAATTAAAAGAACCTATACTTAAACAGTTTCACCAGCATATCACGTTGCCTGTTGTGTATTTTTCTTCTCTTTTACATTCTTTATTTGAACACAAACTTGGAAAATCGTAGTTTCTAATTATGTTAGTTGTGCCTCCATTATGTTTATTTATGTATGTAGCCGGTCAAAGTCACCTGACCACAAATTAGCCAATCACGTTTGGTGTTCACCCTAGGTATATACATGTAACAATAGGTTTTATCAGTATAAAGAAGGAGTGCTTCAAAAATACATCATTTTGAATGCAACCCAGTACAGTACAGTAAATGCATTCTGAACAGATCGTAATGTGATAACCAAGGGAAGCAACAAAAAGTTTGATATAACATGGGTTTGAGATACAGGCATGCAAACTCGCATAATTTTGTCATGTGTCAAACAAAATCAAAAACGTAAAAGCAACATAGTGCTACTCAATTTTGCTTGATGAAAGCTCATTAATTCTTCGCCCATAAACAAGCATTCACCAAGTCAGTGACACTTTTATATACATGTAAGGAGAATTTTGCGAATTTTTTTCATTGGTGACCTGTCTTCAAATTTATATCACCACAAATTTTAATTACTATTATTAGTTTTACTTTACGTTGCAAAATCAAACATGTGCATCTGATCAAAACAATGAATATGAACTGGAGTTTAGGGAATCAAATTTGAGATAGCAAGGCATATGAGAGTGGGGTTCTACTGTATATTATTTCTTACAAAACTTATTTATGTTTGCAAGGTTATGGCCTAAACTTAGTAATATTAATGTCAACACTATAACCAATACTACAATGTCAGCATGACCTAAATAGTCCAGCCCCCCCTTGGCAATCTGACATCCATGTTGACAAAAAGTCACTTGCTTAATTAATCTCTTGCGGTATGCACCCAATTGCACCATGCCCCATTAAATCCATCCCTGTTGCCCTCCCAACTCTCTCCTAAATCTGAACATAGTTTGAGTGGAAACATGTGTTAGTGCAAAGGACATTCTCCGTGCATAGCCTGAATCCCAAGCATTTCTAAAAGTGATTGAATCACCATTTCATCAAAAGGATTTGGAGGCACAAAGGAATAAAATGGTGATTCAATCACTTTCGGAAATGCTTGAGATTAAGCCTTAGTTTGCATATAGAGAAAGTCTTTTGCACTAACACATGATGTTCACACTTAATGCCAGTGCAAAATGTGATAGAATGTTTTTACAGTGTAACTTAAAATTATAGGCTTGCTTCTTATCTTATGTGGATAATATTTTCAGGGTATGCCAGAATCCTGGACACACCTGTTACAAACTTCAAACATTTCCAAGAAGGAACAGCAACAGAATCCCCAGGTGCGTACTGTACAAATTGGTTAAGACAAAAAGTGACGTTTCTTGTAATATATAAACAACGAGAGCGAGTGTTTCACTGGGATATCCAAACATGAGAAAACAATGTATGAAAACATTTTCGTACATTGTTTTTGAGTGTTTGGATATCCCGGTGAGACACGAGCTCGAGTTGTTTATATGGCTTCTCAAATGAATCGAGACGTAACAGAATGTTTTCGTTTGCTGATTTGAATAGAATTCTTAACCAAGCATAACATAATTAGGAATCTTATTCAAGTAATTTTGCATGCATAATTAAGATATTTGATGAAAATACTAGTGACTTTCATTAGAGGTGACCGATGTTTAAAAAAAGCCGATTACCGATACCGATTGTTTACAGCCGATATTTACCCACCATCGGCCGATTAATCGGCAAAACCGATGGTCAGCTTATTTTTTTTACTAATGTATCCTCTCGTCAAAAGACTCAAAACATGCAGAAACAGGAAGCAACATTTTTAACACTGATTCTGAAATCCACAGCGTGCTACTCATTGGTCAACGGAAGTTACGGAACACGATAATTTTATTAATAAATCTTGCAGAAATGCCAGAAAAGTGAGAAAACAACTATGAAAAAAATGCGGAAATCGGTAAACATAGTGTTTACACTTTCGTTTCGATAATTGTTTCCACACCAAATATTTGAATTTCATTTTTTTATTACACCGCTGACCATACAAATGCCAATGTTTTGCCGATGATCGGCTCACCTCTAACTTTCATCAAGTTTCACCGGGTTATCCAAATCTTGTGATCAAATAGATGATTGTCATTGGCTGAATTGCTTCATGAATTATTAATGATTTGAGAAATATAAGCTAAAAACAGTTGGATATAATGGAGATAATTACAGTACAATAATCAAAACATGCCATTCAGAGCCATTGGAAACAAATTGTTATTAGTGGAAGGGGCTCAACTAAGGGGATCTGGGAGAAAAATTGCCGAAGCCTTGGAAGAGCATTTTCTGTGTTTCCTTAGAGGATTTTTATCAAAGTTGTGAATTTATTGCATTTAAAAGTTCAAGATTTTATAATGCACTTTAAGGCCCATTTACACAATATGACTAGTTGTATACGATTGTCATTCTGGAGTATGAAAACGACTGCTGTTGCCAGTATTTCTGTTCATCAGTTTATGGCAAAATTTGAATTATGACATTTTTACATACATTTATTCGAGAAAATATGCCAGGATATGAATTGTATATAACCAGTCATATCGTGTAGATGGGCCTTTATAACTTTTTACAACTTCATCCAACCCCAGCCCCCTGCTTCGAATGGTCCTGTACCACCGTTTTTAATATAAAATATCGCTGTAATGTTCATTTATAAAATAATATGGACAATTGGACAGCTCATGCAAACATGTATAAAGAAAGGCCAAACAAGTGCAAAGTATATTGTGGTAAAAACATGGAAGGACATTTACAGTTCACAGTTGCTTGCAAATTATGGTAGTAATATCAAGAGTATACTACTTATATATACTGTGCTTATTTTGCATCATTGCATACTGTATATTATTGTATATTGCTCTCTAATATTCTGTCAAAAAGCTTTTATGACAAGTACATACTACATGCAGTGAGCTGCTACTGTATCTGGTTTTTTCTTGCAGAATTTTGGTGATAAATAAAGTTGTTTTTTTTTCTGTAGGCAATTTTAGATGTTTTAAATTTTTATGATAGCACCAACAAAGAAACAGACCCACCTGCAAAGTTTATGCAAGTTTCCAAACCGTATAGTAAGTTAATAAAATTTCTTAAAAATAGGTACAGTATAATTTATCAGTAGTTTACTGGAAAAATCAAACATTAGCTCCCTTGTTCTTTATATTTCTATATACCTTATCTCCCAGATCATAGGAATTGGAAGCCAGCATTTCAATTATTATCATCAGATTGCAGTCTTGGGGACGGAGAAGTAACAATGAATAATATGACTAACATGCATCTAGAATTACTAGCATTAAAAGGATATTTTCAATTATTTTCCAGTCTATTTTAAAATTCCTTTAAAAGTTCATACATGTAATCGTACAGTATATGACCATAAAATTTAGCAGTTAAATGAAGCAGTTAAAAATTGAAAACAAATAATGTTGTAAACGTAAGTACAAGTAGAATATTACCAACATCTAGAGTGAACATCTAAAAGTGTTCTTTGGTGTTGTTGTTGTTGCTGTTTTATTTTTACAAACAGCTCTGTATACATAACAAAATCATATTACCTCGCCAATCTCTTAAAAAGGAATTAAATATGATATTATTTAAACCTACATGTTTTTTTAGACACCTCTTCATATTCCTCGTCGTCATCATCATCTTCGACCTCATCCTCGAGTACTGATCATATTTCACCAGTCCATGATAATGCTGCTAAACCTAAGTCCACTCGAATTACTAAATCACACTCATTCAAGTCAAGACTTAAACTAATTAAAACTGAAAGTAAAACTCAAAAATTAAACGGACTTGATAAAGCACTAAATGGTAATCATCCACTAACTCCGAGTAAATCACTACCTGATGTTGTGCGAAATAATACTAGGAAATGTAAAACTCCAACGCCAGGTAAACAGATGACACATCCATATTCTCGGCCTCGTACTGGCTCTCTTGATGCTGGCATGAGTGCTGTGAAAGGTAAAGTGCAATAATAAAAGTTTAATATAAAGATTAAAATATGAACATAACATGTTTTGAGCAGTACAGCTGTAAATCTTTTTAGAACTTCAATGTGTCTTTATTATAAAGTTTTACAATCTTTTTTAATTAATTTAAACAAATAAAAGTTTATATACATGATGTAACATGAATATAAGGTATAAAGAGTTGATTGCACTTTTGACGTACGTCTGTATTCTGATTACAATGGCGTCGTTCATTTTAAGATTCATTAAAGAGTTCATGACATGTAATCATACATTTTTAGTCGGCCATTAAAACAAATAATGTTGTAAACGTATATGCACAATTAAATGCGTATCATTAAATGACTTCACATACCTTTTTTCCCAATATGTTTATATATACAGGGTATGCCTTATTAACCAACGTAAACGGGGGCGTAAACACAATTGGCCTTTCTCACGCCGCCATTTTTCGGTGGCTTTTCAGCCGAAGTCTGTGAGATAAGTCCACATAACAGCGACTTTTTATAATTTTTTGGACGAATGATGGTAAATTTGCTTTGTAAATGGTTAGTTTATTTTGAAAAATTGCTTTTCACATTGTTTTAATTGTCTGCATCGGTTAACGAGAAATAGATGCCACCCAAAAATGGCGGATATTCGTCATCGTGATCGGGAAAGGCTAATTTTGAATCGAATTTTATGCTTGTACTTTGATTAAAATGTACTTTGAGCGTATAATTTAACACAATAAAAACTCTGCTCTATGGTCTGCAGTTGAACCATTTTTGCTCGAGCTGACGGTGTGACTGATTAGTAATTTGACCATTTTTTTGCAGTCACTCTCCTTTTATAATATTAGAAGCTATTTTAAATTCTCAGGAGTAGAAAATCTTGTACGTAACAAGAATAGAGTTATTTATTTAAGTCTCGTTTTTCAATACACCCTGTATTTGACGCTTCCGTGGGTCCAACATAATGCTCAGGCATTCAAATTATTACAATAAGAAAGTTTCAAAAGGTATACTTTTTTTCGGGACACCCTGTAGTGTATGCATGTTAATGTGTTACTATACGAAGTATATTTATTTGTGGTGTTAACATCTTCATGTGTAGATCAACCGTACCCTGCCGGATCAACAAACAATTATGCTCCAGGGAGTGTATCACCAAATGCAAAAGATGTAAGTACCGAATGCCATTCGTCAATAGCTTTCATTCGCCCATATATATACGTCTCACAAAGCTACATGCAGTCATAGCCAAACACACGGCATCTGAAGGGCTATTCACGAGTTTGCTAAGTTTGTCAGGTCAATACAGTGATATAGGCGAATACACGAGCTATTGAAGAATAGCATTTAGAAAAGGTTAAAAAGCGTTCAAACACATTTCTGTCAGCTGGGACCGGTTGTATAAAAAAGTGATTAAAGTTAACTATGGTTAAGTGCAAACGTCATCCAATAAGAAGCGCCTATTTGAGAGTTAATCACTATTTAACTACAAAATAGTGATTAAAAAAGTGATTAAGAGTTTTATACAACCGGCCCCAGCACGTTAAGTCTTGCGACAACACAAAAGAACCGTTTTATGGGTATTAAAAATTAAAAGTTTCTTGATGTTTCCATGATAGGATGGTAAAAGTGGAAGAAACGATAACCATGTATCACCTCCAACCAGTGAACCAGAGAAACCACCAACTGTGCCATCTCGTCCTGAAATTACCAAATCAAAGGTACTGTACCTGAAGGTGTTATTGGCCAACCTCGCAAGGCAAGCCAGGCTCTCTACTTCCGCTTCCCTCCCAAACACGCTCCAGCAGAGACGCTGGTCACGTGACATCTTAACTCGCTTTGTCCCGTGGGAGGGTGGGCTGAAGTATCTCTGCAGGGCTCGAAATAACGTTCGCAATGTTCCCGATCATGGTGATCGGCAATGAGGACTTTTTGCCGATCAAATAAAAATCTGGCCGATCAGGAGCATTTACCCTCATTTCCTTCAAAAAATTCTAAATATGCCAGTGGGCATTGAATACGCATTTGAAGTTTAACTTTATTTCAAATTGAAGTTTAAATCTATGACATTTGTGGACTTATACACTGCTAATAGTGTAACTATATTTAACTAGTGCTTAATAAACTTTATTTTATTATAACACTTTTCAAGTTTTAATTATACCACTGCATTTTTTCACACAAAAGCAAGAAACACAGCAGCATTAACAATTAAGAACTAAAACTTATTATTTTATATTAAAAGAGAAAATCCTACTCAAAAAATCCTATCAATTTGAAATTATTATACAAAGATACGTTCGTCGTCAGCGGTTCGGATTGCAGACTGTACTGTTGAAAAGACGACAACATTTCGTGTAAATTTGTTTTAATAAGAGTAAATTAATTACTTTAGAGCGAGAATAGTATTGCTGCCTTTCCTGTCGTATGACTCGTATCAACTATACAAGAGCTTTTCGCGTGTTTTTAAATGTGTTTTATGTTTACTTTTATTTGTCTTTTACCGTGTACAGGTAAGCATGTCTTTCAGACAATGCTCAAATATATTTCTTGCCGATCAAGGTGAACGGCAACGTTGATTCTTCACCGATCAAAAACAATTTCCTGCCGATCATTGATCGTTTATCGGCCGTTATTTCGAGCCCTGCTCTGTATCTGTAATTGCAAAGATTGAGTTTCTAGGCGTGTTTATTTTGAATATCATCGTGCATTGGATTGATCAAAATGTATGATTTACTTCAGTTTAGACTTTTGTATTGTAAAATGTATCTGATATAACCGGAATATAGTATTACTATATAGCGATAGAGCGATAGACGGATATAAACAAGCTGCTTTAATGACTGATTCCATTTTAAAACAAATTCTAAATTTACCGATTTTAGTTTTATCTGTTATCAAACTAAAAACAGAATTAATGCAATTCTTGGCATATATCTCTACGGCTTGTTAGTACTTTTAGGATGAATTTTAACAGTCTTTAAAATATAAATACAAAATTTACGGTAATAACATTAAATAATCTTTTGTGTTGTTTTAGTATATTCCGAATGAACCTGTAAAGCCATCTGGTAAGCCAGATGAAAAAGAAGGTACGTAAAATCTCAGTTATTAAAGTTTCGCTGTTTATATATATAAAAGTACATTGTTGTTGTTGTTGTTCTAATATGACATCTAGCTAGAAACATGGTGTCAGGATAGTGAGTTTATCGTTGAGTTTATAGCCTCAACGAGTTTCGTGAATCATTAATAGGCCTGTAAATACATTCTTTAATGTCTCGGTACAATAAAAAACAAAAAGAAGCGTGGATGGTTTAGCACAAGCCAAGATTCAAACGGATTGAAATGGCGACAAGTAATTTTCCTATTCCAGCACCGATGGACATGAATGGTGAGAATTGCGACGCTGTTATCGATCATGAAAAAAAAAGTGATTTCAAGTTTGTAAACACGTCGATATGAGCGAAGCCGAGAGAAAGAAGATTCATCTGATATTACGAGCATTGCAAAGGCAGTTCGAGCCGACTCGGAATGTTATTTATGAACGGTTTAAGTTTAATACATGCGAACAGAGCCCGGGAGAGACTGTGGCACAATATATAACGAAACTTCGACAACTGGCATCAATGTGTGAGTTTGGCGGTCTAGAGAGTGAGCTTATTCGAGATCGCCTGGTGTTAGGAACGATAGACGCTAGTGCCAGAGCAAAAATGCTCCGAGAACCCAAGTAAAATCTGAATAAAGCAATAGAGATGTGCAGAAACAGTGAAATTACCAAGTCACAGCTGCAAAATTTGGGCAACGAGAGAGAGTCGGTTAATTATACTCGCAAGAGCAAGAAAGACAAGCCTAGTTCGAAGCATGCTGCATCTGAAGACTGAAAATGAAGAATCTGGACAGAAAGCGCCTTTTCAGACCTGTAAATATTGTGGAGGAAAACACAAGCTGGGTCGAAACCAGTGCCCAGCATACGGTGAAATATGCAACAGTTGCAAAAAGATGAACCATTTTGCCAAAGTTTGTCAGCAACCCAAGAGATCTAGCAAAGTGAATATGATGTCTGATGAGCTATCATCAGAATCTGAAGAGTCGGTATACGGTGTCGAAAACACAGTTGGCACGGTGAAGTCGAGAGGTGAGAAGTGGTTTGCAACATTAGATCTGAGTACTAATGGCCAAGCATCACGTTCAGTATCTTGCCGGATGGATTGTGGATTCACATGTAACCTAATCAGCTATACCGAGTATTGCAAGATTGCCCAAGACGGAGACCCCCAGCTGCAGAAATCTAATGCAAAATGTCGCTTGTATGATGGGTCAGTGATGATACCGATGGGAACTTGCCAACTACATTGCAACCAAGAAGGAAACAACAATTTGGTCTGTTTTCAAGTAGTTGATGTTGATCAGAAGTCTTTGTTATCTGCTACAACATGTGAAAAACGTGGGCTATTAACTGTAAATGTAAGCGAGAAGCATGCGAAACTAAAGATCAACTTTGCTGAAGTCCCAAAGAGCCCTGTCACCCACGACTACATAACCGCAAACTATGGAGATGTGTTTACCAGAACTAGAACAAAGAAAAGTAATTGCTAAATTAACGAAATCTACTGGATCAATGGCATGGTCGCTGTGTGAAAGCCAACAGGGAAGCTGCGAATCTGTATTGACCCAAAAGACCTGAACCAGGCCTTGAAGCGCTCCCATTATCCCACCCCTACCATTGATGACATATTGCCACGTCTGAGGAGTGCCAAAGTGTTGTCAATTCTGGATGCGAAAGATGGCTTTTGGCAAGTAAACCTTCAAGAAGAAAGCAGCTATTTGACAACGTTTTGGACACTCTTTGGAAGATATCGCTGGTTACACATGCCATTTGGGATATCAACAGCACCGGAAGAGTTCCAAAGGCGACAGCATGAAATGTTTGATGGCCTACGGGGCGTAGAAGTGATCGCTGATGACATCCTTGTCTATGGGTCGGGAGATACACAAGAGCAAGCTGAAGTAGACCACGACAAAAATTTGATTGGTGTGTTGGAAAGAGCCCAACAATACAACTTAAAGTTGAACAACAAGAAGCTGAAACTGCGTGTAACAGAAGTGCCTTATAGGGGACATCTACTGTACTCACGTCTAATAAAGGGCGTCTCCCAGATCCTCAGAAAGTCCAAGCTGTGGTTGACATGCCTAAACCTGATGGAGTGCCTGCAGTACAGCGGTTTTTGGGTTTCGTCAACTATTTGGCTAAGTTTCTGCCGCATATTTCGGATGTACGCGAACCACTCCGTCGTCTTACTGATAAGGATGCAGTTCGGTGTTGGATGCCGAAACATGATGCAGCCACTGAAAGCATTAAATAGCTGGTAATGAGTCATCCTGTACTTCGGTATTATGATGTGAAAGAAGAGATAACCATACAGTGTGATACCAGCGATGTTGGGTGCTGTCCTTCTCCAAAGTGGGCAACCGGTGGCTTTTGCTACAAGATCCTTGACTTCCATAGAAAGCTTACAGTATATGTTCAAATCGAAAAAAGAATGCTTGGCTATCGTATTCTCTTGCGAGTGTTTTGACCCTCGCGATCCATGATCCATGGGAGACTGAAAGTTAATGTTAGAACTGATCATAAACCATTGGAAATCATCTTTAAGAAGTCACTATTGAGTGCGCCATCGTCTACAACGGATGTTACTAAGATTGCAAAAGTACAAAGAAATGTACATCGCAGATACTCTTTCCAGGGCGAGCACAGACACACTGGCTGATCAGATCTTCAACGTGAGCCAGCAACCCAGCAGCAATTTGAATCAGCAGACGGCGTTTGAAGAACGTTACAGACAGCAGACGTCGGCAGATAAGCAGCAGACCATGCAAGATACAGCTCTCCAAATATTGAAGTCCACCATCTTATCAGGCTGGCCAGATACGAAGAAAAAAATTCCAGAGATCATTCAGGAGTATTGGAGTTATAGGGACGAATTAACAGCTCAGAATGGAGTTCCATTTAAGGGTTCCAAGATCATCATTCCCCAGTCTATGCGCCAAGAAATGTTGGTCCGTATACACGCCAATCATCTTGGAGCAGAATCATGCCTACGGAAAGCGAAAGATATTCTATACTGGCTGAACATGAGCTGGGAAATACGAGACATGGTTGGACAGTGTAACCCTTGTAATGAGTACCAGCAATCCCAACGCAAAGAGCCATTAATGACACGCGAGATTCCTGAACGTCCTTGGAGTCGAGTAGCTATGGACATCTTCACTCTGGAAGTCCAAGATTACCTGATTACCGTTGACTTCTATTCAGACTTTTGGGAAGTTGACATTTTACCAGATATGACATCAGCAACCATCATACAGCTAAGTAAGGTGCACTTTAGTCGTTATGGTGTAACCGACGTGGTAGTAAGTGATAATGGTGGTCAGTTTGGAAGTGACGAATTTAGAAGTTTTGCCCGTATCTGGGAGTTTGAACACACCACCACTTCACCGTATCACAGCCAAACCAACGGGAAAGTCGAATCGGCAGTGAAAATCGCGAAGAATGTTATAAAGAAAGAAGCTAAGAGTACACAGCCAGAAATATCACAGGCCTGTCGCAAGCTGTTGATTTTACCGGCTTGCGGCAAGTTGTCAACAAGTCGCGACAGGTCTGTTGGTTTCGTCAGGCGGTAACAGGCTTGCGGGAACAGGTCTGTCGCAAGCTGTTGTCAACAGAGCCGTAGCGACTTGTTGAAACAACCCGCTACAAGCCTGTTACTAACAAGAGATAACAGGTCTGATAGAACAACTTGCAGCAAGTCTGTTGAAATCAACAGGTCTGTTCCAACTTGTTCCAACAGACGTGTCGCGAGTTGTTTTTGTCAAGTCTGCAGCAAGTTTGTTATCAGAACTGCGACAGACCTGTCCACAACAAACAATTTTTGTCCTGTCACAACAAGTTTCAACAAGCCTGTTGTTGGGAAACAAATCGAAAATGTGAGTAAAGAGAAAAATCGCACGAAGTGGACACGTCCGGCTTCACTTTCTCATTCAAGGCAATATTAAATCACATGCAGAGGAGATGAGGCTATGTGCACACGGTAACGTTTTCGAGCGTTTCCACGCTAAAACGGATGCAAACACTATCAATTTACAACAGAAGCTGTAGTTTATTTAATATATTGGAGATATATTTTCCTTTGGATCGTGTGAACAGGGTGTCAAAACGATTAAAGGAAAAAAAGGTTTTGAAAACGCTGGAAAACGACGCCCGTGTGAACTTAACCTAAGTATCTACTCTGTGATTAAATGCAAAAGCCGCTGTTTTTAACTTTTTATATTTTTAAAAAATAATTCCGATTTCCAAAATCCAAATTCCAATTTGCTGACGTGTGCTATCGTTATATTTCTTTAATCTGATTGGATAAAGGCGTGTGCACACGTCATCATTCCTCGTTGCAATTGGACGAAATATTACAAACATATCAATCACGTAATCATGTTTAGTTGTTTTTGAATTTTGAGCCAAACAAAATTTCAACAACTGCCTCAAACAAAATCAAACAAGTTCAAAGCTGTTTTGATTTTTGAAGAAACTGTGGCAATGAGAATACAAGATCTAGAGCTTAAGAAATGAAAAATACATGAGCAACCGAGTGTTCACTGCAACGTTCTTCATTGTTCAAATGAATATGAAATTCGTTATATACAATGATTTCTTTCCAATTTCAAGTGAAATCAGCGAGCGAGGAAGACGCCTTATTGAAGCTTTGTGTTATTTTATGTACTATTTTGAAGAAAAATATGCAAGTAGGTTGTCATATTTCGGTCGTACTTCAAGACCAATTAATTTTGAAAATTGTTTACGATAAGAACCTTTCTTGAATTTGTCGTATTTTTTCGGCTATTTTGCTCAAAAATTATCTCGCAAGTTTGTTTATAAGTGTTCATATGAAAGTCTGGCTATTTCACGAAACACTACAACCGAAATATGGCAACCTGTTTGGCCGTTTTTTGTTCAAAATAGTGAATACACAAGCTTCATAAGGTGCTTTCCTCGGTTTGCAACAGGTCTGTCGCAAGTTGTTGAAAACAGCATTGCTGCAGCTCTGTCAACAACTTGCGACAGGCCTGTTGAAAACAGCATTGCTGCAGCTCTGTCACAACAGCTTCTAACAGACCTGTTGAAAACAGCATTGCTGCAGCTCTGTCACAACAGCTTCTAACAGAACCTGTTGACAGGCCGTTGTGGACCTGTCAGAACAGACAGGTACAAGGCGAGCGAACGCATCCAGATATCGGCTTGTTGACAACAGGATTTAACAGATCTGTTGCAGATCTGTTCCGACTTGCGCGTTTCTGGCTGTGTAGTGGATATGATGTCTGGAAAGCGATCCATGATTGGCGGAACACCCCTACAGAGAACATGGATAGTTGCCTTGTACAACGTTTGATGACCCGGTGAACTCGAACACTTTTACCAACAGCAAATCGACTGCTGGAACCTCAGGTTGTTGAGGGGATCAAAATGAAGCGCCAGAAAGCAAAATACTCCTATGACAGGGGGTCAAGAGAAGTGGTAGAATTGGTGATCGGACAACCAGTGAGTGAGAGTAAAACCATCGTCATCCCAAAGAGGCAAGAGATGGAAATTGGGCACATGTCTGCAACAAGTGGCTCCCCGTTCCTACATTGTTGATGTTGATGAGCGTAAGCACCGGCGAAATAGAAAATTGCTCCGGAAGCAAGAACCTGACACTGATACAGATACTGAACCAGATCACCCACCGGATGTCCAGATAGACCCAAGCGCATCAGAGACATCCGAAGAGCCGACAATTACAGTAGACCAATAACCCTTCAGCCACCAGTCAGAACCCAGGAAGAAAATGCACCAACACATCAAGAGGAGACAACTCCAAATACACCAGGGATAGTTGAGCCAAGGCGACAAACCAGAACTCGGTTTATCAAGCAACCAGAACCATTTAGAGACTATGTTATGTAAGTTTATTTGATCTTCTGAGTAGCGAGTTGTTCAAAGACGTTCAGCAAACATTTGCTATAAAAGAAAACCCTTGACCTGTGGGACAAAAATTAATAATGAATAAATTAACCTTGTACAGTATAAATTAGCATGTTGTTATTCTAATATGGCGTCTGGCTAGAAACACTCCGATCATGCATGCAGCATGTACAGTAATTGTCTCATGCCGTCTTTAGGTCAGAACGATAAAAACGCTCAAGCAAAGCAGAAGAAAAAGAAAATGACAGATGAAGAAATTCTTTCTCGACTAAGTAAGAATATATTTTATAAGACTCACGAGTTCTATCCATAAAACCATTATAACAGTGTGAAATTAAGTCTATGATTCAGATATTACATTTACGTTGTTTGTTACCAGGAACAATCGTCACAGTACGAGATCCTAAAAAGAAGTACACAAAGTTTGTAAAAATTGGTCAGGGGTAAGTATGTACGGTAATTCGCTTCTTCATTATGGGAATTGAGTGTTAATACTACTGTATTGAAGTAGTCTGTTGTATATAGAATTAGAAGGTTTATTTACTTATAAAAACCTAAAAGTGAGGACTATATGACGATTGGAATGATCTTTTAAGATGCAAGTTTGAAATTGTTTAATCTTAACCTTATTATTAGTTTTATTGGACATTATAATATTACTTTTTAGAGCATCGGGAACGGTTTACACCGCCATAGACGTAGCTACCGGACACGAGGTACGAGATAATTTATTAATTTTCCCTGCTGAATCAGGTCTTGTGAAGCCATGTTGAGAATCGCAATTTCTAATTGGATTTACCTATATATGACGATGGATTCTGGAGAAAATAATATCATTCATATTTTAGGTCGCTATCAAACAAATGAATTTATCACAACAACCGAAAAAGGTAACCTTAATACCAAAATTGGTATTTGTCAAGAATTACAGTATGTATTTCCTATATGATGCTGATGTGTCAACTATTATTTTTCAGGAACTTATTATCAATGAAATTCTTGTGATGCGAGAAAACAAACATGCGAATATTGTGAACTATGTGGACAGTTACCTCGTGGGGGAAGAACTTTGGGTAGGATACCAGTTGAATTTATTTTTAGTGCAAAGGTCATGGGGCCTTTGCAGTGTTGTAATGAAGTGCAAGTTGTGTTACCTTGCAGCAGAATAGAATTGTCTTCAACAGTGTGTTCAACAGCATTACAAAACACGCCCAAAGCATACTTTCTTCCCCGACAAAATTAAGTGTTTTATTATATAGCAAGTGTCAAAGTCTCAATAATTCACCTGGTATTCACTATCGGCAGACAGGCTGAAACTTTTGAAAAAAACTTTGCTTTGAACTTGCTGGTTGACGCGAGCAGGTTGCGTCTCACTTCCGGTTTTATTATTGACTGGTCAATAATTGTTGACCGGTTGCCCCCTCATGAGCATGCAGTGAACATGACGTTTTGTAGACCGGCACGTGATACGGTTTTGACCAATGAATCGGCAAACGCAGGAAAATTGAAGTTTATTGAACTTTGACACTTGCTATATAATAATAAATGTTATTCACACAAACTTTACATGTCCGCGTATGTAACCCGCCCCGAGAATAAACTTAATTGCCTATATAAGCTATGTGTATATATATATATATATATATATATATATAAATATATATATATAAATAAATATATATAATGATCCCAGGGCTTATATTTGTGGGTTCACTGTATTGCTCATCCTTACCTGTACATGTGCATGCATGCATGATAACTTATAACTGTGAAAATATTAAGTTTGTTCGTTCACTGCAACCAGGTCAAAGACTTTGCCTAGAAGCGTGGCATATAAATATGAGTCATCATGCTTTGAATAGGGATGACGGCGCCTATTTGCCAGAAGAATATATGCATCTTCTTGGCAGGTGACGTCATCCCTTGGGTATTTAAGAAGCCACGATCGCAGTTTCAGATCACCCCTGATGAAGACACTAGACTGGAGTGTCGAAACGTTGGGTCTTGATTACAATTCGACTGGGCTTTGTAATCATTTATTTAAACCAGAGTAGCGAGCGAAACATGTGTGAAAATATTGTTTGTAGGTTGTAATGGACTATCTTGCTGGTGGTTCACTTACAGATGTTGTAACAGAAACATGTATGGACGAAGGACAAATTGCTGCCGTATGTAGAGAGGTATGAATACGTTCGTTCAAACCATCATATAATGTTTTAGGTATACGCCTTGCAAAACTTGTGTGAATAAATAAACCACCTACTGATGCTTCCTAAACTGGAACGATTGAAACTATACTGTAGATCTACGAGTTATCCAAAATTTTATTTGGTATACAGTACCATGATGCGAATACACCAAAGGTTCTCTCCATGCTGTTGTAATCTTCAGAATCACCCTAAATATTTAGAAGTGTCCGAAGTTATTATTTATCGTTGTTTTGTCTTGAAATATTAGACGTATATACAGTATTGTCTATAATCACATATATATTCCACCACTGCTATTAATTTTCTCTAGTCATCATTTTATTCATGTGGTAATTGTTTATTTGTTTTCTCATCTTCAAGGTTCTACAAGCATTAGAATTTCTCCACAGTAATGGCGTTATACACAGAGATATAAAAAGTGATAATATTTTACTGGGAATGGATGGTAACGTTAAACTAAGTAAGTTTTGTATAAAATTGTTTTTAATTATTGTCGCATAAGAGTTTTTACTTAAATATAAAAAAACACACTATTACAGTAGCAGTACGTGGGTGCGTATACTCTGTCTGTACTGTATGTAATGAGCGAGAACCTCATCTTAAACAAATTGAATTTTAATAAGTCTTTAAATTCTTTGCAAATAATTCTGTGAAGTTTGTATCTACAGCAAGTGAAGATATGGAAAATATCTCACTGTGTATTTTTCAGTATCTCACTATATAATATATATATATATATATATATATATATATATATATATATATATATATATATATATATATATATATATATATATATATATATATATATATATATATATATATATATATATATTTATATATATATATATATATATATATATATATATATTTATATATTTATATATTTATATATTTATATATTTATATATTTATATATTTATATATTTATATATTTATATATTTATATATTTATATATTTATATATTTATATATTTATATATTTATATATTTATATATTTATATATATTTATATATATTTATATATATATATATATATTTATATATTTATATATATATATATATATATATATATATATATATATATATATATATATATATATATATATATATATATATATATATATATATATATATATATATATATATATATATATATATATATATATATATATATATATATATAAATATATATTTATATATACACTGGATCCAGAAAAGTTTGACCTCCGAATATATATATATGTCGGCCATTTTGAATTTTCTTGGGTTAATTATACGCGAACGCATACATCAAATGTCGCTCGCAACGTACTGTATATTGCAATATTCCAACAGCTCAAATAAGTAGAGGATCATTGCTTGAAGTTCTTACACATATTTATAGTAGCTGTCTAATGAACATTTGAGGGTTGTTAGCTATTTAACTCTTGTCACAATTTGGAACCTGATCTTTTTGGCATGTCGTAATTTATTCTTTTGCATCCTTAGAGATTTAGACGCTTATGAGCATGCCTCGTTGAATTTCTTTGTTTATTCTTTCGTATTCACTTGTGCTTATTTTATAGCTGTACCCTACGTCCAGAATTATTATATTAAAGAGTTTGGCAACCTAGAACGGCAACGACAACTGCAACGGGGAAAATATAATTGCTTATATTGTTGTATTTGAGCCAAAGTATACGTTACTACACTTAATTTGCCTCATTAAGTATTTCTGTTTCTTTCAAACGTACCCTTAAATAAAAATAGTCCGCGAATTCAATAAAACTCTCAAATAACATCGAACGAATGAATTGTTGCCGTAGTCATGCACCGTGAAAATGATGCAAATCACGTATTAGTTTCAACAACTACGACATTGTACAACGCTTAAGACCATGTAATTTACATTCGCCTTTGTCTTTGAGGATTAATGCTATTGTTAATGACCATATTGCCGTTGCGGTTGCCCTTGTATTTGCCAAACTCTCTATTATATTTTGCCAACGGAAATTTTAACGGAATCGATAGTCATTCGATATTTCATCCCCTGAAACTCAGCACACGCAGCATTCGTGACCTGGCGAAGCAGAAACGTTCATTTCCTACTAGCCATTATGTTCATTTCCAAATGTTCATTTCCTACTAGCTATTATGATTATGTGCAAAGACATCAGTCAATGATTCTTTTATTCATTTGAGCTGTTGGAAAAATATTGCAATATACAATACGTTGCGAGCGACATTTGATGTATGCGTTCGCGTATAATTAACCCAAGAAAATTCAAAATGGCCGACATATATATATATTCGAAGGTCAAACTTTTCTGGATCCAGTGTATATATATATAGATATATATATATATATATATATATATATATATATATATATATATATATATATATATATATATATATATATATATATATATATATATATATATATATATATATATATATATATATATATATAGTTACATTATAATTATGATATTAATTATTGTAAATATATCTAAATATTCTTTACTTATATTGTAAACTTTTAGTAGCTTCCAGCTTGTACCATAATTGCAGCCAGAAATTCTGCCTGCGTTCCAGTGATTAAATTAAGGTTGTATCTTAATAGTTAAGAAATAAAATTTGATGTTTCCATAATAATATAATAATTATATTAATTATAAAAGCATTTATAATAAAAGCATTTATTTAAACATGCACGATGGTGAATCAAAAGGCATATCCACACGATACGATTTGTCGTATACGATTCTCATGACCCTGGCGTATGTGATCGAATAAACACGCGTGAACATGTGCAGTGAGATTTAAACTAGTTTCACCATTACAGCGAATGAGCAAAAATGTGGCATCAGCACTCGTTTAAATACGTCAGAATGACAATCGTATGGACAAATTGACAATCTAATTTCAGGTAGCAGATTATACCAAAGTTGCTGCAGCGTGGGCCGTCGAGGAGTGGAAGTAAAAACCGCTTGCGTGCGATGCGAGGTTGACATTTGTATTGCTTTACATGGGAATAACGGTTGTATAACCTGCATGTTATGTATGGATTGTATTGCCATGCATGTGTTGCGTCAAACTACGTCACAAATAATCCGTTCAGGTTGTACAATTCATGTAAAAGAGAGTGAGAGAAAACTACAACGTGGTTTTAGTATTTTTAGTTTTTATTAGCGCAAAAAATATGAACACTAGTCAAAAACATGAACATGAGCCAGTAAACCATTAACACCGGACAAAAATGTATTTTTTAAACATATGCATGCATGACTTATTTATATCACCAAGCTTTGTCGACGATTGTAGTGCCGTTTCGCAGTGCTCAAAGGCATATAGCCTAACCTCGTCCTTTTATAGGTGAACGAAAATCTTCTCCTAAAACTAATTTCTCAACAGTTTGTTCATAACGCCGAAAATATCTAGACCATTAGAAATCGTACTTTTGCAAGTTTAGCAAATTGTCATTGAGAAATATTTAACCTAAAGCCCTGTTTAAACGGATCCAACGTTGTTGGGCCAACATCATCCAACATTGTTGAAATAATGGCTCAAACGGCTTCTTTTTCAAATATTTTGTCAAGACTAGGTTTAGGGTTTGAGTAAAGCTTATCTAACCAAAAAGATTTGAAAGAGAAGCAGTCATATCTAGTATAGTAACATTGTTGGATGATGTTGGTCCAACAATGTTGGATCCGTTTAAACAGGCCTTAAAGGTCCAAGGTTAGCGCTAATATATCTCAGAAAAACTGGCCACAGCAATTAGATCATCGATTAATTAACAAGAACCCAATCTTCTCGTCCAATACGCCTCTCAAAACGAGTACTGTAAACACATAAAGTATTTGACTTCAAACGAGTAACCTAACTAACACCATAACCAAGATAAGTCTTTCTAATATCAACCGATGCAGTTTTTTGGCTATATAAACCTTGCTCAATATACGTTACTATAATAATGTCAATATTTGCAAATACATGCAATTACGTCTTTCAAACATCCTGACTTTTTCGAACACTGAGAAAAACAGTATTAATATGCCCAAATAACTTGAGCACTTAGCTATCCCGAAGATAATTAAAATCAAGATTTAGTTCATTGCCGTTAACAACATGAAGATGGTCTGGTGAAAGCATCTGAGACAGAACGGGAGCGACGACGACACGACCATCAAATACAGGATTCTTTAGCATAATATGCTCTTTAACAGGATGATAATACGTGGCTTTAAAGTCTGGACTAAATAACAATGTCCGCTTTGGTCACGTCCTGTTATCCTTCTGTCCATATGCCTAACAACCAGGTTATTAGGTGGTATTCGATATCCTTGCGTGAACTCTTGATAACAGCCATAGCATTTTGTGACAGAATTTGGTAAAAGAACCAATTCGTACCAGTATGGGGACATGCTGGAATTCCAGGAAGCAAAACGATTGCTTGCATTGCTTTGCTGCTGTATATCAACACCACTTAATTGGCGACATTGTGGTTGCGGAATGCCGATGCAAGGCTGGCTTTCAATCTGACCGCAGGTGGCAGATGACGTAGAAGGCTGTTGGAATGTAACACTATCTCTATTACTGTACTGTACGGCCGAAGTAAGGGTTGGCTCACGCGGAGTCATCAGTGGAGCAAGAGAGGATTGTGCACCAGTGACGACGTATTGGTTTGTTGACTGGAATACGGATGTCGTCGACAAGAATGGAGGATAACGAGTCAAGCCGGCCGGCGTACTCATGGATGATGACTGTTGGATATTGGAATGGTTTACCGATCCAATAACAAAGGAACCATCACTTGTAGTTGGTTTTCTCTGAATTAGATCTTCTGCAATCGACTCTTGAAAGGATTTGGATTTTCTGCGAGAAAGTTTTTGAGCCTCGTTCTGTTTGTGTCCTTTTAATGAAGAGCTAAGATTCCAACGTTTCCATGTGGCAAGATGTGATCATGTGAACGGTGAACCGTCAAATACTCCGCATTACTTTGGTCAGCAACAACAAACAAAACCAAAACTTCATCTTATGGACCATCATCTTCATCTTATTATATACTTATATATTATTATTAATTAATAAAAATTAATAATAATTATTAATAATAATTATTATAATTATAATTACTAATAATTATTACTAAATAATAATTGTTATAATAATTAATATATTATATAATTATAATTAATTCTAATATAATTAAAATAATTATAATAATTATAAGTATTATTATTGTAGTGGTAGTATGTTGCACTGGTAAAAATCTTTATTTACAGTTTAAAAAACGTAAAATATAAATCAAGCTTTCGGACTAAGCGTCCATCGTCAGGATTAAAATGGCAAAAATGATTAGTCGCTTAAATACTATTTACATGTCAATGACCTAACTAAAAAACCTAATATTTTAGTTAGGTCATTGACATGTAAATAGTATTTAAGCGACTAATCATTTTTGCCATTTTAATCCTGACGATGGACGCTTAGTCCGAAAGCTTGATTTATATTTTACGTTTTTTAAACTGTAAATAAAGATTTTTACCAGTGCAACATACTACCACTACAATGAAACTTCCTGGTAACATAACCACACTAAATTAAAGTATTATTATTATTATTAAAATTGAATAAAGTTTTCGTTATGATTTTAATTATTATTATTAATCCAACATCCTGTGGGCCGCCAAGAAACCCGCGTGCAATTACACAGTACAAATCTTCATCACGGGCTTAAAACTGTAGGGAGCCTCTTTAAGAATGCGTTTTTGACTCGTGTTCGTCAGTTTTTGACTCGTGATCACTCGTGTTCGTCAGTTTTTGACTCGTGTTCACAGATTTTTGACTCGTGTTCACTCGTGTTCGTCATTTTTGACTCATGTTCACAATTTTTTGACTCGTGTTCACTCGTGTTGTCTCGTGTTCACTCATGTTCTGACTCGTGTTCACTCGTGTTGTCTCGTGTTCACTCGTGTTCTGACTCGTGTGGTCTTTTAGAATAGATCCTGTTTTTGAACGTTTAAACATGATTAAAAACGTCGCGAGGAATTTTTTTTTTAAAAAAGACAAAGTAAAATTAAAATATCTTACCTTGGTAAACCCGTCCTTGGGCTTGGTAAACAGTCAAACAGATATACAACGTATGCTGTATTATGGATAGATAGATAGATAGATAGATAGATGGATAGATGGATGGATGGATGGATAGATAGATAGATAGATAGATAGATAGATAGATAGATAGATAGATAGATGGATCGATGGATGGATAGATAGATAGATAGATAGATAGATAGTTTATTACAAATATGTGGCAGCCCGAGAGCTGAATTGCATATTTACAAATTTGGAAAACTAATTTACAAATATTTTTCTTACATATCAAATTTAAAAAGCTATTATTAAAATATAGTTAATTACAAAGCATAATTTAAAAATAATTAATTAACTATAGTTATTTTTAATACAATTTGACATTATAAAAGTGTTCCTGTTTTCGTTTTCCATTATATTCTGGAATTATAAAATGTCTGTTTTCTCGTAAGTCATACGGAACGTTATTTGAAGCAGGAAGTAATTTAAAAAGTTTGTTTTCACTATCATTAACATGGAATAAAATACTTTATCACACACTAGTTCACTATAATCAATTATGGTCGGAATGTTCGCTTCTTGCAAGGCCTGACTGTAAGCAATGTTTGGACTAATAATTGAAAAAGCCCTTTTCTGAACGCGTTCTAATTCAAGTTGCAGGTACTTTGGCAACCCATAAAAAACACAGAAATGGCATAAGTTAGAACAGATCTAATACACGATATATAGAAGAGAACTAAATCTTTCGGTGATAATTTTGCTCTTTCCAAATGGATAAGGAAATATAATCGTTTCGAAGCCTTTTTAATTGTGTCATTGATATGATCATTCCACAGAAGGTTAGTTGTTAGCTTTACGCCGAGCAACTTCGCACTCTTTACAACTTCTAAACACTCTCCATCAATAACAATCGGATGAAAATCTGGTTGGTCTTTCGCAAGGGAAATTCTTAATTCCTTGCATTTGTGACTATTTAGTTTTACTCTATTTACCGTGGACCAATGAGTTACTCTGTCAACTATAAATTGGGCGTTGCTCTTATTTCCTTTCTTTACAACTTCGGAGGTTGTTGTACATACATACACATACTTTATTGTTATAATTACATATATAAAAATTTACTAGGAAAAATCTTCTATTATTAAAATAGTCCATTACTAAGAATACAGTCTGTCTAACATGTCTTTCTTTAATTTATTCTTAAAAGTTCTCAAAGATGGCATTTGTTTCGTGTTATTGTCCAGATCATTCCATAATTTCGTCCCTCTATAATGAAATGTTCTCTGGCCAGTGGTGGTTGTTGTATCGTCAACATATTTACACATGTCAGCATTCTGGATATCGCAAAGATTTAAATCGTTGATGAAGGCAAGAAATAACCATGGTCCTAGATTTGTTCCCTGGGGGACCCCGGAGGGCACAGAACCCCATTCTGAAAAACATCCGTCGGCGAGTTTAATTCGCTGTAAGCGGTCTGATAAAAAATCGATGACCCAATTTATTACGCTTCTAGGCAAATCCAATTTAATTACAAAGTTTACCTCGTAAGATACTATGATCAATAAGATCGAACGCCTTACGATAGTCGAGCAATATAGTTCTCACTGTAGCACCATTGCCACTAGTTTCTATCATCCATTTATGAATCATGTGTATCAAGGCATAAGTGAGTAATGTGAATCCAATACAGGCATCTGATGTCTGATGGTGAAGATGGTGTATGGTGGTGTATGATGGTCGAAGTGTGTCAGATGGTTGTCAGATGGTGTATGATGGTGTAGGGTGGTTATGCAGAGAAGGGTTGTCAGATGGTGAAGATGGTACAGATGGTGTACGATGGTCGACGTGGGTCAGATGGTTGTCAGATGGTGTATGATGGTGTAGGGTGGTTATACAGGGAAGGGTTGTCAGATGGTGAAGATGGTACAGATGGTGTATGATGGTCGAAGTGTGTCAGAAGGTTGTCAGATGGTGTACGATGGTGTACGATGGTTCAAGTGTGTCAGATGGTTGTCAGATAGTGTATGAAGGTGTAGGGTGGTTATACAGGGAAGGGTTGTCAGATGGTGAAGATGGTACAGATGGTGTATGATGGTCGAAGGGTGTCATTCGGTGTAGGACGCTTATATTACATTGCTATATTTTATTATTACTTACATATACTTTAGCCAACTATAGTATGTGTATAAAAATATAATGTTATATCTCACAATGCGGTTCTCATGTGGGAAAGGTAATTCAAAGTATTTGGCAAAATATATTTAAACGCATTTGACAAACATGTTCGAGCCAGAATAAATAAAAATATAATATGAATATATGATATCTCACAATGCGGTTCTCATGTGGGAAACATAATTCAAAGCAGGTTTATAGCGCCCCGGTTGAATGTTCAAACTTCGTGAGTAGATTTACAGCCATGCCTTCGCTTAGGGATAACAATCGTTTTATGTTTCGTTGTTTTTTTGTTTACGACGTATTAGGTATTGCTTTTGCGTCGATTAGAGAGTTTTGTGTTGTATTGTCGTCTTTTGTGTGTTTGGAGAGAGCCACGAGAATATGTTGAATGTAGATAGACCAATTTGTGTTTCAAAGTCGGAACCTTCATTACCTGAACGAGAAACACAAACCCACGCTTTGTGATTTCACGAATTATTGTTTGGATAAAGGCTTACCTATTGGTGCTTTGTTACTATCGGATCGGGACAAGTGCAATGAGTGTGGAAAAAATCTAGTGTTGGATGAAGAATGGAAGCCAGTTGTGGTTTATCATGTTAAGCCACAGGCGGCCAAATCTCTGAACGTCCTATATATTTTGAATATTTAACCGTTATAATATTATATAATCAATTTAAGCAAAGCTATAAATTGCGGTTAATGGAGTAATATGTTCTGAAGGCTCTATCTGCCCGAGGGTGTTTTCAGTCTGCCAACGCATATGCGTCACAACAATTAATCCGTACCAGGTACGTACAAGGTCCAAGTACCTTGGCAGAACAAGGGAACCGTTTTCTGGCCCTGTTAATATTACAAAATATCTGATAAATATCGAACTTTGGCTGCTAAGCATGTGAACAACTGATGCAAACTTGGGATTAACCAATCAGAAATTATCCTGAAGGTTTTTTCCTTCACGTGCATACGTACAATGGCCCCCTCTTTGCGCAAGGACTTTTGATCGCAATGTCGACGTGCACTGCTCATTCGCAAGACTTTAGCCAGTGCGTTAGCATCTCTGGCAAAATTTTTGGCTAAAATTTGAGGGACGAAACCTTGGCAAAGAAGTGGAAATTTAAAAAACCCACCCACCTCCCAAAAATCATGTACACCGATCTGCGTCTCTACAATATGGCGTGTTGTAAGGACAGTTAACTAGAAAAATGAATATTCCTGTATATAGTTAGCACGTTACTCATAGATTTGTAACCTACTTATGTGAAGAAATGCAATAAATAATTATATACTGGCAGGGAAGTGCTGTCCGATGGACAACACTTCACCACGTGAAGCGCAATCACTGCTCATTCAGGTCGCACTGAAGACCTGAATGAGCAGTCCTAGAGACTTGATGTGGTCAGTCAGGTTATCAGTTGCGGCCCGGGGTAATGTGCCCTATACCAATGGTTGTTCACCAGTCCAACTAGGTCTCAATGTCGACGGCCTGACGGATCTGAACGGGGGTTCGCCTGTTCCCCTGTTATCTAGAGGTCCGCCTGTTCCTCTAGAACAACCTACAGTTTTTGCGTGTATCCTCAGCCAGCTTTGAGTACCCTGGGTAATTTGCCCTATACCAATAGTTGTTCACCAGTCCAACTAGGTCTCAGCTCGCTGAACGACATGCACAGAGCCAAGCATGCCCTCTGCAGTCTAGAGATTCGCCTGTTTCTCTAGATAAAACTTAGGTTAGCGAGAGCCTCTAGACAGTTCGGCCGGAACTGTTTTCGAGCACTTCTCTGCCCAAAATATATGCCACAAAAATGTGTTCCAAGTTATTGTTGTCTTGCTTAGTTGCCAGTTGTTCGATTTTAACTATCTGTCTCTTTTCCAACATATTCAACTTCATTAACCATCTTTAATTCAAAACCGGCTTGAAAAATCGCACTAGTCATTTAATTGTCTTATACATAGTTTTGGCGGATTTTCTAGTGGTATAGTTTATTTTTCATATACAAGAGAACATCAGATTTTACATTTTTGCCATAATAGTAATTAAATAGGCAAAATTTAAAATTATCAAATTTTTTACTATAAAGCAAAAATCAGAAGTGGTAACACACACAGTCATGTTCACCAAGGCTTAAACTATAAGAAGTTTCCATCAAACTCTCTTTAGAGGCACTTTTGCCACCTTGGGCGGCTGACTCGCGACATCGCAGATTCATTCTCGGTATGTAAAATTGTATGTATCGTATAGTTCTCAACCATGTCCTTCATTTTTAGAAATATACCAAGTGATTTATGATATTCATGTAGATGGTTGTGAATATATTTTCTCCGACGAGGCTAAAAGGCTATATGTGGAGTATTCAAACAACCTTTCAGACATAATGAACGAACAATGGAAACAGGCAGGTGTGTGCACGGACAATGTATCAAAAGACAAAATGAATTTTATTAGGTAAGTATATGAAACATAAATTTATTAGATAGAGATAATATATTATAAGTGTTGAAGACGATATTTCCCGATTCGCCGTTTCGCTCACTCGTACAATGTACTCGTGCAACTACCCGTTTCTGCATGCTTATAGTTTCAGTAATATCTTAACTATAAGTATGTCTTGTTTTTGTCTACTTTTATTAGGCTTTCTTGTGTACTTCATGTGCTTTTAAGTGCGGTGCTGCATTACATTGATAACCCCAAAGATGAGACGGAAATGAGAGAACCATGTGCAATAAATAATGAAATACCAGCTTCAACATTAAAAATTGCACAGAAGGTGATCAACTTTTTTGCAGAACAACGAAAGGCATTTCTGCTTGTAAGCTTTAGACTACTTTTATAAAGCTTTTGTATAACAGAGATCATATATACTTCGTCTGACATCTGCATGTCTATAGGTTCTCATTACGAAAGTTTGATGCTGTTCCAAAACACTCATGCAGTGTTTATTGTTTAAAACCAAGCACCAAGGGTGGGTTGACTACAAAATTTTTGTAGTTCGCTATAACTACAGCTACTTCAAAAATATGTAGTCAGCTACAACTACTGCTACTTTTTAACAAAGGTAGTTCGCTACTGACTACAGCTACTGCTTAAAAAATGTAGCGAACTATTTCGCTACATTAATATTTAGTTTTACTGTATTAGGAGCATCTACTAACTCAGTCTGTAATGTAACCTATAACAAATCGACTTACGAGTAGCAACAGCAAACACAAAGAAACATTTTTGTAAACACTACAGTGTTCAGGAGTGCAAATTGACTATTGTATGAGTATTGATTTTAAGCAAACCGTGTCTCGATCAATATCATGCTATTCTATCAAGTTGCTAACAATTTTAAAAAGTAGCGAATAGCGATTCGTTGTTTGAAAAGTAGTCAACTACTTGGCTACTTTTAGGTAAAATGTAGTTTGCTACAACTACAGCTACTGTTTTAAAAAAGTAGTTAAAAACTACTGGCTACTTGAAAATTGTAGTTCACTACAGTAGCGAACTACAACTACTTCACTACTACCCACCTTTGCCAAGCACTTGTGCGGTGTTTATTGTTTAGCCTGATAACAATGTCAATGTTCAAGTTAAAGTATACGAGTTTCACTTTAAATTATCTTCCGCACATGGCTGATGCCATTATTTTTCACCAGTGTCAGTGATTCAATAGCCCATACTGTATATAAACTACAATCATTTCAAGGTTTTTGTGATGTATTATATAGGTGTTGGAACCAATATCACTTGCAAACACCACTACTGAATCTAATCCCAATGATCTGATCGCATCATTTGGCAAGTGGTTTATAGCCAATTGTAGTCCATCTTCTAATGACGAAGTGAGTATGATTTGACCATTACTGCATTATCGAATCATTAGGGTGTTATGGGGACTGACAACAATGAAATTATAACCATTACAGAGAGCGATTTACTGTAAGAACAGCAAAGCAATTGGCTGTCTCAGATTCATTTTAAATCTGAGACAAAAATTAATTTGAGACAACCAATTAGTTTTAAACCACTAATTTTACAACTGTACCCGCTATATATTACACTGCATGCATGCATGCATGCTGAGTAGTTTTCGGCATCCAACTGAAATACTAAAAGCTGTGATATCAACTACGAATATGCTATATCTAAATTGCATGGACTTTGTGTGCCACCGCACTACAAAATTTGGGAATAACCTTTTAAATAAATGTGCTATTAATATATAAGCTATAATTTTTACTGTCAACACCCAAAATGTATTAATTGTTTTGTAAATGTGGGTGGTGTGATATGTATATGTACAGTATATCTCAAACAAATCTTCACATGCATGTGCAGGGACACTTCGCTCGGCAATTCAAGTGCCACGATCCAAGAAAAGCATCATGTATCATTGTCAATATATAGAAATAATTATTCTGATGATACACCCTTCCGGAAAGCACGTTACCTTGGCTATAAAGCCCCGTTTTTGTGATCATGGAAACGAGGCTTTATAGCCAATTAAAGTATGAACGCACTGAGTAGTTTGAAGAGTGCTCAACACCAATATTGATAAAGCTTTATAATTGTTGTCTTTTCTACTTAAAATTAATGAAGTCACAACTCTGAGTTTCACTTTTTCACGATCTTCAGGCCACGATGTATGTTCAAGTTTTTTCATTATTTTAAGTAGAAAAGACAACAATTATAAAGCTCCATCAACATTGGTGTTGAGCACTCTTCAACCAAACTACTCAGTGCGTTCATACTTTTGCTTGAATCAACGATTATTATTGAGATATATACATATATATACATATATATACATATATATATATATATATATATATACATATATATACATATAGAAGGGTCCTTTGCCACCTGACACATTATTAGTATCATGGGATGTCTGTAGCCATGTTCCCCAACATCGATAATAATTTAGGTTTAACTGCAGTCAAGAAAGCGTTAGATTTGAGAGAAAATAAGTTTCCCTCAACTGAATGTATTGTTGAAGCAGTTGAAATTTGCTTAGCATGTAATAACTGCCAGTTTGGGGAAATGAATTTTCTACAGAAACATGGTACAGCTATGGGTCCTAAGAATGCATGTAGTTATGCGGATATAGCTATGGGGGAAATAGATAGATTAGCGAAAACTAGCGGAAATATAAAGCCAGAGCTTTGGTGGCGCTACAGACATGATATTATAGATGTCTGGAAGCAAGGTTTGCCCAAGCTTCTGGAATTTACTGATTTTATCAACTCCCTGCATCCTACCATTAAATTTGAGTTAGTTTATTCGGAAACTGGTTAAATGTGTTGGACCTCACCTTACGCTTGCCACTGATGTTTATGCAAAACCTACAGATAGTCATTTATATTTGCCATATTCAAGTGCACATCGTGAGGAATAAATTTAGTTCATCAAGAATATCCAAAATCATTAGTTGATAAGGAATTTAATAAAGCTTTAAAGGTGAATAGGAAAGATTTGTTGCATGCTAAAGTTAAACCTAAAAAGAAGGTTTATCCCTTTGTGACAGAATTTAATCCTAGGGCTCCTAACATCTCACAAATTATAAGTAAGCATAAGCACTTGATCTCCACACCTGAGTGGGAAGAAATTTTTCCGGACAAGTCTATAATAACTGCCTACAGAAGGCCAAAAAACCTTAAGGACATTTTAGCACCATCTAAGTTTGATAAGCAGCATGTGTTGGCGGAAAATCAGAGGCCAGGTTGTTTCAAGTGTAAGCGAAAATGTGATTTGTGTAATAATTTCTTGAAGGAGACTGACTGTTTTAGGAGTTTTAGTACCGGTCGGTCATACAAAATCAAACAAGAAATGAATTGTGGTACCACTAACATAGTTTATTTAATTTCCTGCAAAAAATGCAATGTTCAGTATGTTGGATCTACATCTACTGAATTTAAAGTTCGTTTTCGTAACCACAAGTCAGCTATGCTTACGGATAAGAAAGTTTGTGAGATGGCCGTTCATTTTAATGAAAATAAACACGAATTTAAGGATTTGGAATTTGTAGCCATTGAAAAAGTTGATTTAGTGAATGGCGAAAATGCCAATAACCCTTTATTGACCAGAGAAGCATATTGGATGGCACAGCTGTGTACAGTTAGCCCTTATGGCCTCAATAAGAGATCTGAACTTCGATCAAAAAATAGGATCCATTATAAGTTGTAATAATTATTATAATTATAACTAGCAAGCCATATTATGGTAATTTTGATCCTACTATTGATCCTCATTAATTTGTTTACTACATAATATGGTAATTTTGATCCTGCCAATGCTATAAAAGCTAGACATTGTTAAATTGTAAAATAAACTGATGAAGGCAGAACTGCCGAAACGTTTTTAACTTTTAAGCTTTTATTTTAGTATGTTTTAGTTTTTTTTTAATAAATTGAGGGTCGAAGTTGCAAAGTCTCTGATTTTTAAATTGATTTTTATATATATATATATGTACGACAGTACTTGCTGTGAATCCTATTTGGATCCTTCGCCCTCGAGGAGACTTCGTTTGGCATTGCCATACCTAATATCAAAGCTTATATATATATATATACATATATTATATATACATGTACATGTACATGTACAATCAATATGTAGATTAGCCACGTTTTTTGCGGGTTTTTTTTTAAATTGACGTTAAAAAATTTTATAAACATTAATTTCGGTTCTCATTTATACTCAGTTCTTTTTTTTTTAAATTTTACATGTACATGTACATGTACATATATATACATACATATATATGGGGCACCAAATGTGACATAAAGATTGGATACAATATATAAAGTGAAAGTAATTATACAGGGTGTATCAAAAAAAGCACAATCCTCGACTGAAATGTAAATTGCTAAACAAATAATAGACGAAAACGTTAAAGTTTACATTCATTTTAAAGCGTAGCCATTCAGCTTTCTAACAGTGGGTTGTTTCTTAAATTTGACTCATTGGTTCGCGGGTAATAATACTTTACGTTATTGCGATTGGAGATTAAAAAAATTGAGATGGAATAAGAAATCGTTCTCATGAAAATAACTGATTTTTTCATTAAAACAAAAAAATGTTGCATTTTATTAAATGGATTGTAACAATAGGTATAATTACGGCTTTTTTTCCACTATTTTTAACTCAGTTTGACACTTCAAATGCGATATAATTTTGGCTTGGACCATCTAAGCTGACTGACATCAACTTGCTATAATTTCTGTTTACATTACATCGCAATTCGATGACACTCTGGCTCAGACACCAGAATGTTTTGATGATTTTTAGCATTCGTTTAGGATTTTCAAACAACCTGGTCTCTTTTAAAATACTTTTAATTTGTTCTTACGTGGTTTTCCAGATGTAGTGACAACAACATTAAAGTTTAAAGAAGAAAATTCTAACATTTAAACCGACTAAACAATAACATAGTAAACTTGCATAATTAAACAGCAACTAAAAATGATAGGTTTTACTAAATCTTTTCCTGTGCAATTATTACTAGCATTGGAGACAAGGATAATAGTTTGTTTGAAAGATTAAAGAACAGGCTTTGAAGTAAGCCTAAAAGCGTTTAACTAGAAATAGTATTTTGAAAGTTATTAAGCACAAAAGAGGAATTGCATTTATTTTGATACACCCTGTATAATGTATAAAAATAATATATCTAGAGTCAAAATTAAATATATAAATTATAAAGTGAAAATAAATATTTATAATGCGCAAAGGCAAAATATATATGGTCAAAATTATGTATATATGGTTAAAAAAAATATGTATAGTGAAATTTAAAATATATAAAGTCAATGTCAATGACATAAAAAAATATATAAAGTCATGGGCACTAGCAATCAACTTACAGTCGACATGGGGTATGGAAAATAGTCAAACATGTTCGTGCGCAAATGCATGGTTCATCATGGCGGGTGACCAGAATCAAAACGATCTGAGAGCTGTCGTAGAAAATCTAGTAAGCCACCCTGGGTTTCGACGAATTGTTTCTGATTCGGTTCAACAATCTTCTCAATGTAATGAACGAAATGCAAGTGCTAGTGCCAACGCTATATCGTCGCCGAATTTGAGCAGAACAACAGTTACTTTGGTGACTTCGCCACAGGAGGAACCACATTCTCTATTTCGAAGGGCAGGACAGGGCCGTGGAGGAGGCACTGTTGCTTCGTTTGTTCCGGTTCTTGGATCAAACCGAAGTAATGCCCGTAGTTCCTGATCATGTAGAGGTGGAAAAGTACAAAGAAAGAAGTTCAGCCGAGAGGTAGTGCTTCTTTCGAAGGCAAATGATAAATTTGTAGTAAGAGGAAGGAGCAAAGCTGATCTAATGTGCAAAGGTCATGTGATTCAATGCTTCGATTTCTTTAAAGATTTGACCGAAGAGGAGGTTTTAGAGAGCTTATCGGATGGATTTGCCGAAGCCCTTCGAGGTACAAGCTAAGGATATGGGTTAATTCCAAAAACTATGATTTTATCCTGAAAAACCTAATAACTAAATAAGCCCATACATTCTTGGCAGTTGCCAGTAGCCAAGTACTGGGCCATTCCATTTAATATCCTACCCCCCCCCCTATGCATGAGGTCAGTAAAATTTTAACCTCTAAGAAAAAAGGTCAAATGCCGACACAACCCCCCCCCCAAAAAAAAATGCTGACAGGCTTAATTCCTTGGAAACAACTTTGGGGTCATCCTTCAGAAAAATTCATCCACAGGGAGGGGGACATCAAATGGAATGGCCCACTGGCCTTAATTCCTGGTATTAGCCAGAGTAAAATGCTGAAAAGTGTTTAAAGTATGTTTATACAATTCTAAAGTGAAAACGTCACCTTTTGTTGGTTACCAT